CAATGATTACTTATGGTTTACATATCAGAAAGTCAGCAAATCCACTTTTTTTGTATTTTTTTAATGGCATGATTAAGAAAATTTGAAAATATAGAACACTGAGGGAGGGGACATTTTCCTTAAAAAGCCATGAACAGAACATTAAAATCATAATCAAGGAATCCAGACGAGAATTAAATTCTTTCTAACCATCTTGAAAATATGACAGAATGTTTTGCCACTGGAAGTGAGAATTAAACCACACATGCCTGATGCTAAACCACTCCACATCCTGAACTCCTCTTGCATAACATATGTGAAAACAAAATCACAATCTTTATTGTGCCAGATGCCGGAAGAGATGAACAATTTAAAAAAGGAACACATCCTCCATAAATCAGATCTAGTGAAGAGCAAGGTAGTTTCACAGTAAATCAGGATGTATTTTTTTTAATATAGACTATATTTGCATGAAATCATAATGTCAAATTAAGTAGAAATTATTAAAGGAAATGTCAGCCTTGAATTTGCTTCAGTAGGGAAAAAAAATAACCTCATAAGATTTACTCATGAGCTTCTCCACCAAAGTACAATGTTCCATCTGCTTTGGCAACTTGTTCCACTCACTCATACTTATTGCCATTCATAGAGTATCAGAAAACTTTTTTGTTATTGTTTTGGCCTGTATTATTTCCAGTATAGATAAGGAAAGAAAATATAATGCCTATCCCTTTGAAAGAACATGACAAGTTAGGAAGTGCTTTGATTGTATATTCATGCATGGTAGGGGTTGAACTGAATGGTCCCAGAGGGGGAGGGGGTCTCTTCCAACTCTAAGATTCTATGATTCTAAGTGGCAAAGGAGAGAAAACTGGAACAGTCCATGAAAAAATCTTACAGGTTGTCTCTGAGGAAAAGAATAGAAATAATTATGAATGCTACATGAACATAAAGGGTCAGAATCCTATTGGTGACATCCACATGTTTTCTTGCACACGTGGTTGTACTTTTTTGGCCCTTCTTGAGTGAATGTATTCAGTTCATGACAGAATAAGTGGAGCTTCACATGACTCAGATCCTATAGTTAGTCCCAACTAGTGTACAGCCACTGAACCAACTGCACTGACCTACACCTTCATTCACTATTCAACCACAGATTGACTGGGTTTCTTCTGGTTGAAGCTATCCATCAGGATTCTAACCATGCTGTTGCACATGCTTGGATAGTGCACAACAATTTGTCAGGGCCTTCAGTGTCCCACTTGATTCACTGGGGTTACAGGAACATCCCCTGTGCTTTCTGCACTGCGCAGAGGGGCAAATAACCAGATACACTAGCAGAGACTCAAATGGTTGCACAATGACAGTATTCAACAAAAAGGTGACAACAACACTGACTATAACTGTCTGTCCATATGCACCTGACGGAGTAGACCTAGTCTACAAAAGCTTATTTTTGTTGCTGTTATTGTCCACTGCCCTCGAATTGACTCCAATTAATGGTGACCCTATGGATGAGACATCTTCAAGACCTTCCAATCTCCACTGCTCTGCTTAGGTCCTGCATGCTCATAGCCATTACCTCCTTGACTGAGTCCATCCATTTGGTGTGTCATCTGTCTCTCTTTCTACTACCCCCTCCTTTTTCTATCATTATTGTCTTTTCTAATGAGCTATGAGTTCTCATGGTGTGGCCAAAGTATGAAAGGCTCAGTTTCATCGTCTTGGCTTCCAGGGAGAGTTTGGGTTTTATCTGTTCTAGGACCTGATTGTGTGGGGCTTGTCATGAGGATTGAAGTCTAGTAGGCAGCCTATCCCTGCTGAACACTGGAGGAGCCGTCTAAAGCTTCTGAAAAGGATCCTTCCACCTCAAGTCTGTTGCATTTCCTGTTCCCCTCCAATAAATGTTATGAATCTGTTATTTTACTGAACCAAAGGCAACAAGTCAATTGCTAAAAATATACAAGTCACAAGTAGAGTCAGAGTATTATTTATTGTGGAGTAGAGGAGTAAAGTTCAAGTTGAATAACTGAAGTGACTTCAGTTCAAGTCAATCTAATTGAGCCTACATCACTGCCTTCATCATTCTCCCAATGCCAAAGCTACTAAAAAAACTTCCATCTAGATAGAGAATGAGGACAAAGTAAGGCTGGGCAGGAATAAAAATATTTTGCAAAAAAAGGACCTTCTTTGACAGAGGCTTTCTTAACAGAGGAATGTCTATATTCCAACTGCTGTAAAACAGCAGACTCCCAGGTCCTAGTCCAATACTCTAACCATTACACAAATTGCAGTGCAATAGGATAAGCAGGTGATGAAATTTCCTTTCTTTAGGCACATGTGGCAAAAGAAACATTTAATGGAGTATGCTGTGCTTTTGTCTTTTTATTATGTTTAAATGTGTTTTAAACTATTCTACATATGTGTTTTTACTAGTTTTTTTTTAATGTACTAACAGTTTTGGGGGGTTTTATCTGTATTTTGTTATAATTTTTATAAACCACCTTGGGTCTTGTACAGAGAAAGAGGTGGAATGGAAATTAATAAAATAAGTAAGTAAGTAATAAGTAATGAATAATGTTATAAGCCATCCACATAGATTGATTTAGATATCTGAGTAAAGATATTAAGAGCATTGAGGTGGTTGACATTTAAATACTTATCACAATGTTGCTTGAGCATTTTAATATTTTTATCACAATATGTTTTGGATATTGGGATGACTTAGGATTTTATCACACAAGACTGCCGAAGTGGAATTACAGCAGGATATTAGCATCTGTGGTGTACCTTGTCATACAATGCTGTGTCTGTCCTCAAGCTGCTTCATCTCCCTTCATTCCTAAAGTGCTCCTTTTCACTGACGGGCAAAAACCATCAATGCCTTTCAGCTGTGCTGATTTTCCACTACAGATTCACATGTGATATCTTCCTCCCACTGTAGTCCCAATATGCAGGCAGTCATGTGTTGCGTGTGGGCATGATCATGCTCCTCCCACTTCATCTCTCTCCCTTCCCAATTTATTTTCTTTCTTTCTTATTTGATCAATTGCCATGACTGTGAAACTGAACATTTAAAAAATACAGACTAAAAGCTGTGGCACTTCATGCCTGGTGTCAGCCTGTGTATGGTGAGGCTGCCAGGATGATAGTGGCAGTGGCTGAAAGGGCACATAAATCCTTCTCTTTTGCTGAGGTGGCAGCCTCTTCCTGAGGAGGAGGCACCTGCTGCCACAGCAAAACCTGGAGTGCCATGCTGGACCTTCACCACTGTGGTGGCTTCCCCTCAGGAGGAGGCCATCAACACAGCAAAATCTGGAGTGGTGTACTGGCTCTTCTCATCGTATGGTAGAGGGTGGCCCAACTAGGTGTCACCCCTCTTCTGAAGTGTCACTCAGTGTGGGTCACACTCCCCTCACTCCCCTAGTGATGCCACTGACTGAAAGGCATGCTGGTAAGGGCATAGGGCAGGAAGGTGGGGTTATGAAGGATGCTGCACAGAAGACATGACAGAAGCACGATGACACTTTTAAAGAGTTATGTGAAAATGACTGTCCCCAAATTGGTATATTTGTGTTTCCAACATGACTGTAGCATCCCAGCAGCCTGGTGTGATAAAGTCTAAAGATGGAATGTGCCTGTTCCAATGATGTGTAAAATGCAGTGAGAACACACAACTCAAAGAGAGATGAGTGGGGGCATGGAGAAGAGTTTCTTCAACTCATTAGAATCACATTCAGATAGTTCTCAGTGGGACTTGTACAAAATCCCTTAAGCTGTGCTAGCCTCTTAGCTACATTAAATTAATGAGGCATCTTAAAAATACATTCTTCAGCAGCTGCCCCAGCCTCCCTCCAGCCGGACATCTTCCAATTCTCTAAATTGGAAACACTCAGCTAACCTAAGGGAGGCAACAGACCATTATTCCAGGAAGGAATATCGCATTGTAATGTAAAGATATAGATACAGACAGGTGGGGATAATGCAGATATGACTTGTCACACATACATGCATATTGGTACTGCAGTTTTTCTGTGGAGACTTTCACAGCATCAGTGTCATGCTTGCCATCAACATCTTTTGGTTGCTAGTTTGCTTGATTTTAAAATTATATATATATTAAACATGTCATAAGCACATGGGATATTAAGGATACATTCTTATATATGGCACTGCTGGCTGTGGGGCATTAGGAAATGGCATTAAGTCTGCTCTGATAAGAGAAAGTGAATTACATTGCAAGCATGACATGCTGGAGGAATTTCTTTGGTACTCCAACCAGTTTGGGATACCTGCCGCAAAGTTGTGGGTCAAATATAAAAAGAGCCAGCAAATAGCTCTCCTTTCCCATTCCTGATTCTATACCTTCCCTGCCTTCTCTGGGCGCTTTCTTGATGGAAAACACTTCCTCTCCCCAAATGCATGCTATTTGCTGTGCCTGGAAGTCTTAAAGAATTTTGGTTTTTGAAATAATATAGGAGTTGTTGTTGTGTTCCTTCAAGTCGTTTCCAACTTATAGTGACCCTAAGGAGAACCCATCATGGGGTTTTCATGGCAAGATTTGTTCAAACTAGGTTTGCCACTGCTTTCCTCTCAAGCTAAGAGCATATGGCTTGCCAAGTGAGTTTCATGGCCAAGTTGGGAAATGAACCTTCACCTCCAGAATTGTAGTCCTGTACTCAAATGACTATACCATGATGAAACACAGGTTCCTATTTATGCTCATTCTCCTCAACACCCCCATTTTCCCTGAAAGTAGTCTTCTAGATACTTTCCTTTCATAGTGCCTTCATTCCAGCCAGGCTCTATACCACCACTTCTTCCTCTTTCAGTGACATGGAGGTGATGCTAGACCCACCATTGCCACCTTCCCCTCACTCTCTTTTCTCAGTGGGGAGGGTGCAGAAGTGACACCACTACCTGCATCCTCCTCTAAGAAAACCTGGAAGCAGCAGGTACCTGGCATCCTGTGAAGGACACAGACACATGTCAATTACACTTGTGTATGTCCTTTTGTGAGAGCCAGTGTGGTATAGTGGTTTGACCATTGGACTAGGACTCTAGAGACCAGGTTTGAATCTCTGCTCAGCCATGCAGACCCACTGGGTGATCTTGGACAAGTCATACTCTCTTTGCTTCAGAGGAATGCAATGGTAAACCCCCTTTGAACAAATCTTGCCAAGAAAACCCAGTGATAGGTTTCTCTTAGGGTCGCCATAAATCAGAAATGACTTGAAGGCACACAACAACAACAACAACAACAACAACAACAACAACTATGCCCTTTTCTGAATACTGCAGAAGCTGGTATTCCCTTGCTCCCTTTGCAGCACCCATTCCCCCCCCCCCCAAGTTACTGAACAGTTTTTGAATCCCCCTCCAAGTGGCCATTTCCTTTGGGGGGGGGGTGAGCATCATTACAATTGTGTCCCCCTAGCCAGACATGAAATGATGGCACAAGTGCTGAGGTCTACCAGAGTCTTACGGAGGTCTCAGTTCCATGGTAATTATTTCATATCTGGCTATGAGGATACAGAATTACTATGCCCATGTCTATGTTCTGCACAATACTTTTATAAAGGACAAAGGCACATACGATTTCAATGAGACAGTAGAATGTTGGGGCAAAAGGATGCACAATATATGTTCTTTTTAATATGTGTGTGTGTGTGTGTGTGTGTGTTTTCTGTGTTTTTTTTGTTTGTTTTAAATTAATGCTTTAAAACTAATATTTTAATAGGATGGATTATTTCATGCTTTTAAAAATCTTTGTACTACATACTGTTTTAACTGTTTTGTTTTGATGTATATTATAAGCTGCTTCGCGTCCCATTTGGGAGAAAAGTGAAATATCAATCAATCAGTCAGTCAGTGAAATAAATAAATAAATAGGAAGTGTCTCCCACTGAAGACCTTTTATGAAGTTTCACCCCTTTCCCTTTCCTTACTTATTCCAAGTTGAATACAATGGGCCCTTGGTATTTGCTGGGTTTTGGTTCCTGGACCCCATGTGGATACCCAAATCCATGAATGCTTATATCTCATTATATACAATAGCATAGTAATATGGTGTTCCTTATATAAAATGGCAAAATCAAGGTTTGTTTTTTGGGGGAGAGAGAGAGAATATCTTCAAGCCATGGATGCCTGAATCCCTGCATAAAGAATCTGTGGATATGGAGGCCTGACTGTACTCTATACACATTTGCTTCATCATTACCCACCCATTATCAATGCAGTTATTTTTTACTTCTAAAATAATGTGATTTTCCATGCTCTCCAACTCTGCACAAGCACTTTTCTTTTATCTTTGGTAGTATGGCAACAGGAGGGGGTGTAAATACAAGGAAACCTTTTGCTGTGTTATTTCCAGCTTGGCTTATAGCAAGAGCTATGCAGATTGCTTTAAGAAGGTACCGTCATAAATAACATCAAAGCAAGTCCTGAATTATCAAGGCTGTAACTCAGGCAAAAAGGTGCTCTATCCATTTATATTATATGACCCCAGTGGAACATTCTTAATTGAATTGCAGCCATTCATTTAATCAACTGCTTGGCTATATTTTCAGCACTAGGATGGCGAAAAGATTTCTCTTGTCCAGTCGACAGGTCTAGTAAGCTGCACTGCTGCAACAGATCCATACAGGTAGAGATGGGCCCATGCTAAACTGCCAGGAAATGGTTCAGTGTGAAAAAATATTAAAGACTTTGACTAGATAGAAAGTCATGTTACTGAAAAGGACAGTACTTATTTCTATAACAGTGTTCCAGGTATCTGCAGGAATACACATTTCCCACCTCATCCTGGACCAGATGATCAGTTCAGACCAAGACAGCAACTGTGATATATGAGAATACAATAGACTGCTAATTGCAATGGAGATTGATGGGCTCCATGTCAGTGGGGCAATGAATCTACTTCAGGTTTTACTCCAACTTTTAAGGGGGTTATACAAGATCACACAATCATAGAATCATAGAGTTGGAAGAGACCACAAGGGCCATCCAGTCCAATCCCCTGCCATGCAGGAACTGAATCAAAGCATCCCTGACAGATGGCTATCCAGCCTTTGCAGGATTCCATCCTGCAAAACTGGTTCAGCACCTTGGATATTTGTTTAAATTAAACTGCCAAGATGAATCACTGGGAGGAATTCTTTCAGACAATCCAACAAGAGTAGACTCATTGAATCAGCTGTTGAATGGTGAGCCAATACCTAGGTGAACCTGCTTGATTCAGTCTAATTTAGATGGGATGAACAACAAGATTTCAAACACTGTCCACT